AAGAGCAAAACACTGCTCTGGAGGCTTTTCTCAGAGGAAAAGATGTTTTTGCTCTTCTCCCGACTGGTTTCGGCAAGAGTTACGTAATATGCTTCGTTGATCTGATTGGTTTATTTGGCCCGTCTATCACCAACATAGGCCAATCAGCTAATCAGTATTTTTGCCCCTTCCCAAAATTACTTCAATGGAAGGTTTCCAGATGGATATGCGGCGCAAATCCAGCAAAGATTAGCTTGTGTCGGAGGCGGATGAAGTCGAGTAACGAGTTTATTCAGTTTAACTTCCGCCTAGGCTCCATTTTAAATATATCACAGCTTTAAAGTTTTGCTGAAAATACAACACACAAAAATATCTTCTCTAATGCAGATAACTTCTGGTGGTGAGCCTTTCTATTTAATTTGCATCTTTTTTGAATTACTCTTTGAGGACATAAGGAAGTTGTATGATCCCACCATGGTTGGTGAGATGCAGTCACTATTCCACTGCTTTTCAAAATGTGATGGCAGCTCCACTTCACAATACTTTGAAAAACACAATGGGCTTTCTGTTGAAACACTCAGCCAAACTTGGATTCTTTTCTTTTCTGGCATATTGCTGCTTCATCTACCTCAAGTGTGCTCTGTCTGATTTTGGAGAGTAACAAGGCTTGGAAATTGTCTTTTCAATGTGTGTGCTTTACAAGCACTTCAAGTTCTCTGAGGCAGAGAAGATGTTGTAGCAAGGCTGAAGATTTTTGCTAGCATTTACTGTTCACCCATGTGTTCAGCTATGCGAACATGTTTGCATGAGGAGCAGCTCTCGGGCCCTGGCGCTGACAGCTGAGCCTGTCAGCTGCTGAATGATATATCCCATGTGGCAGGGAAGATGAAAACCGTCCAGATTTGTGAGCGCCACAAGCCGTCAGGAGGACAGGGATTTTATCTGGGGCCTGTCAAGTGTCTGAACTTGCTGTCATCTAGACTAGACTGTGGTCTACCTCTTGTCCTGCTCAGCTACTGTCATGTCTGGATTACCTGCTGGTGCAATGCTGATGCACTGACACAAAATAATCCCGATTGTGAAACATTACTGAAAGCCTTTCATATTTACCATTACTGCTTAAAATTTAAAATATTACAATCGGTCCAGCTTGCGAATAAATCGAACAATTTCTGAATATGTAAATATGAGCTCTGAGTGGCTGCTGGGAGAAAATTTTAAAGCTAAAATTAATTGGTAATAAAAGTGTAAAAATGTAATCATAGAACAGCATAATATAACAGTTTCTATCTTATAACATGGTTCTGTTATATTTCACTCATATTAGGACACAAACTTACTGATGTAAAAAATGGCTAATCATTGATTTACCAATAATTTACTAAAGCAGCATTCAGTTGAACTGATGCTATTGTTGGTTTTTAAAAGAGAGATTTTAACAAAAAGTAAATTCAACAATAGTTCTGTTAAATGATTGTACAATTATGTCATATTGCTTTTATTGTATTCTTTTTTTTTACAATAATAATTGCTTTGATTTTTTGTGTTTTATCTGTTGTGCAGCACATTGGTCAGCACTGTAATAATTCTTTAAAGTGTTCTTTAAGTAAACATGGTGGGGTATGGGATACAGGATAATTATATATATTCAAGGTTCAGATTACATGGTATCGTATTAATACAAATTGGCTTTTATGCTATTACCTTATTGTGACAGTCCTTATATAGAAAATTTAAGTAAGTAGTATGATCGTTGTAGAAGCAGCTAATGCAAAAAAGGTCTAAATTTGCAGTACTGCTGGAATTAACATAAAGGCAAGACCATAGCGCAGAGGTGATTGATTAGCGGACTGTGTTCCGGATCTGGACCCACCTGCTGGCTAATCCGGACCCAACCTGATTTAAAACATTTATAAATTATTGCATGTTGTCCAACGACAGTGTCTAACTTCACTTGCGCCGCTTCTACTGTTTGTACGGTAAAGCTGTCCGGAGTGCTGAGACCAGGCTACACGTGATAAAAATTTGCCAATGAGCTGTCAGTTTGGGTCTTTCTTGGGAAGGAAGGAGAAGACAATGAGAAAAAGATAGCAGAGAAAGTGTGGACTGCTGGAAGAACTGTGGT